ACAGCTCAATCAAAGTCAGGATTTACCACTTATTAACTGGAGCTACTCTCAGTTCAAACAGGTTCTATGGTACTCCAAACCAGAATCCAATTCATAATCCCATTCATCTTACTATACCTGGCCTCTGGAGGAACTGCAAACTGTGTCAAAGGTACAGTTGGGAGAATATGTCCAAAGAGCCAATAAGTCGGTAAGGAAAAGTGAAACAGATGGGCATATAATAAAAGCAGTGAGAGATGCTCTTGGTGCCGTGCTCTGAGTATATGTTAGACCAGAAAGTTGCTGAGGTTTTGCTTTCAAATGGCATACTATCAGTATGCTTATGTGATTTAGACCAATGTATACAAAAACCCTGAGATGAAAATGTTTGTCATGAATAATTTTTTGGGAGATGAATAGAGATTGATTACAGTTCATAGTGACAGTCACTATTCCTGCAGTCTCAGCAGGAAACTTTAATACTTAGGTAAAGGTAATCGGAGTCATAATTCCTCAGAAGCTTTTTTAATTAAGAGGCTCAGTTCGGAATTTAGGAGCAACATTCTATAAAGAGGATTAAATGTTTTGATGTGACTCCTTCAGATTGCAGAATAATACCAGTTTATAAAAATGATATGGCATTTTATGTTGTGTTAATACATTCATAAAAAGTCTAAATTGTTTATCTAAAAACAAGAAAAAAAGTAGTAAAGTGTTAGTCTGGGTTCCACTGTTTGTTTATGTGAGCATGTTGCACAGAAGCTGAGACACACACTCTCTCACACACAATTTTGTGGACACCCCTTTTGACTCTTGACAGCTGTTAGTAGTAAAGCTGCTTAGCTCAGGCTGTCTCACTGCTTAACCCACATAGGTGTCAGCGAGTGTCACGCACAAATGCACAAATAAATTTATGAGTGGATGACTGAGCACCTCATGCACCAGCTCTGGAAAAGCAGTTCACATACCAGTCTACAGAGTTTAAATGTAGCTGAAGTAATCGCATGAGCTACGATGCTTTACAAAGCTTGGGCTCTTAAACAAGCTGATTCAGTTTAGGATTGCAAAATTAAGAGTCCAGCTCTGTAGTAGTGTCCTTGTGGATTCTACATTTGTATAGTGGCTTACTGAGGTATTGACAGTATTGGAAAGTTAAATAAATTAAGTGACCTAAATGATTAAGTGGTCAAACCTGACCTTGGAATAAAATATTATTTGTTTGTGAATAAGCAAATAAAAATGATCTGTCCCATGTAATCATTTAAATACTCCACTGAATACAGTGAAGGACTGATTAATGAATAAGGGAAGTATTTAGGTTAATATCAACCCAGAATTTGCCCATTGTTTATGGCTGCTTTGTAGAAGAAAGTTGCAGTCTAGGTTGGTGAAAGATTTAGAGGAGACTAGACAACTTGTGAATAGGTTTTTCAGAGTCAGCTGGGGGCAGGAAAAGAAGGATTTTTCCATTTGTCCTAATTATCTCTTATAAAAAGCAACAATCTGTCAAACTGTCAAACAATTACTGGAAAAAGAAATGAGAGAAAAAGTTGTCTGGTTACCTGTGACCAGTGTGAGAAAGTATTGAATATTGGCTTTTTCTTTTCTTTAATAGAAGATTAAAGATGAAGCTGTCTGTGCAGCATGTTTAGCTTCATTCATCACCTGCCTTCACAATGAATACATACTCTGTAGGTCCGTGTGGCAACTGAGCCGGCAGTAGGCTCTCTGGGGGTGGACACAATGTTAGTTTGAATCACAAAGCCAATTTCCTGTCACAAAGCTGTTTACTTGGCTGCAGTTTGGCTTTTTTATGCTATTTCACAAAAGCAGCAGGGCAACAGGCCTTTTTCATATGAAAATCTCAGTGTGAGAACATCTGTGATGAGTAGAATTTTTGTGGATCTAACATTACCTGACACTAACTTCAGCAGTGACAGGAAAGTGCTGCTGTATGTATGCATGTGTTTGTACCTGCGTAGGCTGAGGTCCATCTGAGCCTCATCCTGGATGAGTTCAGTTTCATTCTGAGCTATCCTCATGGCCAGTTCTCTGTCCCTCCTTTCCTGCTCCAGTATTGCTTGCCTCTGAACCTCCTCCTCCCGTTCTAGAGCCAACTGAAGGTCCAGTTCCACCTGCACCACAACACACACACACACACACACACACACAGTGGCTGAAGTGACCAGTGGTATCTCAGTGGTAAAGTGATCAGAATATTCAAAATGCAGGTCTGCCACAGAGCCATGGAACAGAAATTGAGCAAGGCCCTTACTGCAGCTATATGGATTGTATTTTCCCTTAATTTAAAGGAGATTTGAACAAAATGTCTTCCAAATTAATACAGTAAGCAATCATTTTTCAAATGATTTTTTAATTATTTCTGTTGGAGGTAAGTAATTTAATCACCGTGTGTAATGTTTATTTTATTCAATTATTTTTGCCTATTCTTCTATTGTGAATTTGACTGTATGGTCCTCTTTAAAATAAGGCTTTCCCTGAACCTCCTTTTTAAAAAGAGTTTTAGGCTTTTCCTGAATCGCTCCAATAACCTCTGACCAGAAGAGTAAGAGATCTGCAGTGGGACCCATCAAACAGAACATTTCAGTAATGGCTGTAGTCTGAAAGAAGAGCTTCTAAGAAAAGGTAGGAATGACTGCTTCACTGGGAGCTGACCGAGGGGTCGGCAAGATTTAGACTTCATCTAGACAGTGAGCTTGCAACCTCTTTGGAGTAGTTTCATCAAATCCTTGACTTCAAACTCACTGCCGGTGCCAAAACAAAGAAAGTGTTTAACATCCATGACCAAATAAGCGGCCAGGTTGTAGTGGTAGCTCAAAACACAATGCAATTGTTATGGAAGTGAACAGCATACCTAACATGCTCTAAACAAGCCTGCATGAGAGTGACTGGCAGAGTGACTTGCCATGGGACTTGAAATCAGTACTGATGGGAGGACAGAAGTCAATATAGGCCAGCAAAAAAAAAATTAATATAGTATAAATCTAAATATGTAATACCTGTAGGATTCGCTCATCCTCTTCCCGCTTCTTCCTCTCCTCCTCTTCCTGCTTTCTCTTCTGCTCCATCTCTGCTTTCCTGTGGTAAGAGAGAATAAGGAGAGCTCTAAAGCCAATAGAAAAAGCACAGAGCAAAACATATTCCTCTAATTTCATCCAGTTAGGTTTTGCTATTTCCAGCACACCAGATCTCATGAGGCTCTAAATTAATAGCAAAGCTTTTAAAAGGTTTTGTTCTGTTTTGATTATCCAGACTTTTATCTAGTGATATACAGGATAGCACATTTTTTCAGCATTTTTATGGCATTTCAAATCATTTTAATGACAGTGGATAATTTTGTTTTTCTTCAGTTTTTTTTAATGTCCGTTTATGTCAATTTTTTTATGTCAAGTTATGAAATTCATTAATATGTCATTTTAGTTTATTATAATAATCCTGACCTGTAGGAAGATCCACTGATGCCACACATGCAATTTAAATAATTTAATTTAATTATTCAAAATATTAATTCAAATAAACTCAGGATTGTGGTTTCCTAAAAAAAATTCTGCAAGTAATGCAGAATCACAAATTTTTTCCATATGGAAGTATATGGAAATGTCACTTCCAAATACTTGGAGCAGTGGGCAGGAAGAAGCCAACAGTGAAGGCAGATAAATGACGAAAGTGCACTGCTTGAAATCAACAAAATGCATTCTTTAGCAAAAAAAAACAGATTCACAGAATAATCAAGCAATGACGTGTGATGGGAGAATATGAAAGAGAGACAGGACATTATAATGTAAGCCTCTTCTAGAAGCTGTAGAACACTGATGATGTAAGGCCAGTCATCACCAAATCACCAATTAAATCTAGTTTAACAATTGAGTGAGACTTACATGCGACGGTCATCTTCCTCCTGTTTGCGTAACTGTGCCTCTTCTTCGCGTCTCTTTCTCTCCCTCTCCATTTCCTCCTGGATGCGTTTCAGCCGCTCCATCTCCTCCTCTTCCTGCTTCTTCTTCTGCATGGAGGAAAGCAGCTGCTCTGAGCGCTTCACCAGGTCCTCGTATTCCTGTTCAATCTCTGTGCGACTCATCACTGTAGTCTGAGAGATGCAGAACACATAAAGACAGACAGACAGATTGGCTTTCAGAGGGAACCCAATTGCAGGGAATATCCAGCATCTCTCATCAGCTTGGAGTAAGCAGTGATGTAAAATACACAATTCAGTTGTCACTCATGACAATTTAAACACTTTTGGCTCTATTTCCTCTCTACTGTAAGTCATGACCAGTTCCTACACACTGTCCAAATCTGGCATCACAAAGCAAATTTAGGCCTTCACATGTGTGCTTCCTCCAGAACCCCTGAAACCAGATACCACAACTTTTTATAATGCTACAAATTCATAAAACAAGAGTGTCAGCTCTTCAGTTTAACTATATACATGCTTTCACATGCCCAGCTACCAGTAGCCTAACCTATTGTAAATCAACAGGGGAGAGTAACTTCCCACCCAGACTCCTGGCCATGAATCACTCATTTATTCCAGAATTCACACTCTCCCAGCAAAAGAAGACAACATGGCAGGTTGTGACACTTAGGAGGTTAGCTTGCTTTCATATCCTGCAGGTCCTCATTAATCCAGAGCATCACCTTAGTACTGTCTTACAGAGGGACAGAGAAGTACCAAAGGCACCAGATGCTGTTGTTTTATACAGAGGCAAGCGAGGCAATCAAGTGGAAAAGATTCAGCTCTGGTGTCAATCAGTTGTCACTGAGGTAGTGAGGAGGGCATAGTCTCTGAACCTCACTGCCAATAGTGCACATTTGGCCTGAAACATGAAAGCCTTGTCCCCACAGAGGGAGAGAGAAAAGGTTTAGACAGCAAAAAGTCCACTCTAGCAAAAAGGCTTAAGGGTTTGGGGTGTGCAAAGACTACTAATGGAGAGGAGATACAGCAAGATTAGGATGATTGTAAGCTCCCATGTCATTTATTTCCTAACACTTGGAGGCCAGCCTGAATAGCTCAGTTGGTAGAGCATGAGACTTTTAATCTCAGGATTGTGGGTTTGAGCCTCATGCTGGGCATCAAACCCAGCCACAAGCTGGTGGCAAAAACTCTCAGTGCCAGTCCCAAGCCCGGATAAAAATGGGAGGGTTGCATCAGAAAGGGCATCTGGCATCAAAAAAATAAATAAATAAATAAATAAAATGTGGATCATAAACCAGATTTCCATAATGGCAATGGGTGATCCACTGTGGCAACCGCTAACGGGAGCAGCTGAAAGAAGAAGAAGACATGGAGGCCAGTCAAATTATCCCAGTGTTCCATCATGCTCATTGGAAGGAGTTTCTGGTCCTATGTACGTTGTGTTGTGTTATGCTTAGACATCAAGTACAAAAGGCAACCTAAGTCTGACCAACATCTGCTTTTATGCTAGGTTACTTTATTTTGCTATAATTTATGAGCTGCTTAAGATCTTTCAGTTGTCTCTACATTGAAGCTAACTGGAGTAAAACAGGGATCTATGCTGTGATCTGAGCAATTCTACATTGTGCTGTAAAATAATACAGCACAAAGATAAGAAGATTGCAGCAGGAGCTTGAGACAACAGTCCATGCATAGCAACTTTAGTTTATCTTCACCAGTCCATGGAATGACTGGCGCCTGTTGTATTATGAATGGCAAACTGACACCAGCCTTCCAAGTCACTAAAAGACAACACGTCACACCACAATGTGCCTTGTCCTAGATTAAAAGATTTCATCAATCTACTAATCACTTAATGTGGTATTTTTTAAAGCATAATGTTTAATCAACCTCACCTTAATCTTGGTCATGAGGGAGTTGATGGATGTGGCCAGCTCCTGAATCTGCTTGCTCATCTCCAGCTTGCCCTCTTTCAGACCGCTCACAGCCTCATTAAACTTTTCCATTCTCTTCTTCAGATTCTGAACCTTTACCAGACCATCAATACTGCAATGCAACAGAAAATCCACGTCAGTCATAAAGAAATATAAAGAAGCAGGATGGATGTAAACAAACAAAATCTACTGGTACACACGGTTCATGAATGATGAGTTAATGGGAGGTAGGTGGTTTGAAAGCGTGAAAACTGGCACCCACCGTGGCTTATGTCTCCTCTTGCACAACCACATGCGAACCGTTTTCTGAATTTTAATGCAGGCGCTGGCCCTGTACTTGATTTTATTCTTCACTGCGGGAGAAGGGGGAAAGGACAGGGAGAATACATTTTCTCATTTAGAAGGACAATTATGGAGCAGAGGCAAGTCTTTTACTTCACAAATGCCCTGTTGAGAGTTCCCGTCAAGCAAGAGATGATCAATAAAAAAAACGATGTTTTCATTGCTGTAACATTTTCAAGAACACAGAACCTTTTTCAGGAGCTCAAGAGATTTAAATGTGTTTCCATCAGAGGACCTAGGGGTGATTTTATTATCTGGGCTGTAGTTCCAGAAAGCTTTTCAGTTTCTTGGCCTTTTCTGCAGACCAGCAACTACTGTGATGGAGCTTGCCACACTGTCACTCATGGGTCAAAGGTCACCCAATTTTTAATCTTTTTAAAGACCTGCCTATAGCTAACAAGCAATTACTAAAGCTTGTTAATATCACCAATGGTGCATGACCAGAAAATGTATCTGAAGATTATTTTGCAGACAGCATCCCAGTGAAAACTCACATTTAATGACAGACAGTCCACACCACTGGACCTTCTTCCAGCGGCTGCACACCAGCCACTTGTTGACCCTCTGGACCAGCTCTGCCAAGTGCTCTGGGTCAGACCTCATGATCTGGTCAAACTCTGCAAACTGAGATGCACACGGCAGTCACCTTTGTGTTAATACTGCAGTCTCTGATGACAAAGACGACTGAAGTGTTAGCTTTGACTATTTATTCCAGTCCTACACATAGGATACTCACCTTTCCAGGGCGAAAAAACACCTTTGTCAGTCCAAACTTGTAATCACTGTCATTAAGCCCCAGTGCTTTAAAGAGAGCCTGCAGTGGACACATGCCATGCAAAATGGTCAGAGTCAGAAAGCCCTGAAGAGAAAGAAAAAAGCAAATGTAGCATTAAAGAGAAAGACCTACCTTACAGAAGAGGCGAGGGTCGAGTCTGGCAAGCTTGCCCGGCAGGTATTGCTTATACATATTATATAGCTCATGGAAAGGGGCTCGGGAAGGAAATCCCCCCTGCATCAGATCCAGTACTGAAACCATTCCTGGGAATAGCATAGAAAAACAAGGAAAAACAAACCAAGGGGTTAATATGAACCAATTTGTTGTTCACAAAATGTTTTGTTTCCTACACTATATGCTTAGTTATGTTAAAGAAAGCAAAACTAAGAATTCCACATTATGAATCTGGAAGCTTTTTTTCCATAAGGTTAGCGAAGGTAATGAGCCTTTGCATATGCACACTATCTACTTATAGCTTGTTGGCCACACTCATTCTCTAGAGCTACTTTGTGCAGGTCTTAAGTGCACCAACCATTATTGCTGGCTAAGAAAGACCAAGTGTTGCAAACGCAGGCTATGACATGTGAAAAAGCTCATTAACAAAGCCCTTCCAGGCCAAGACCACCCCAGGAAGATAATGAAAAACAATCACTGCTCTTCACATTTAATGCATCTTCTCAGTGGGCAATATATACATTCTGAAAAACAAGCGTGGAGATTGATGAGCTGTGTTTAGTGGTGCCATATATTTTAAGTGAAACATTTGAAGCTACACTGATAATGTGAAGAAAAGCATGAACCTTAAGCAAAATCCAGGCAGGAACAAATCAAAACAAATGGATGCCTAAAACAGCAAGGACACTGTGTGTTGCATGTGTATCTGGATGCACACAAGCACTCATACCAGAACACTGCAGCTGGGACAGAATCTGTGCTCCTTCAAACTGGTGGCTCACCATCTTCAGATTGGGCTTCACACAGCGGATGAAGCTGGATCCCTTTGAAAATATGATCAAACCAACAATTTAGATAATAGTTTGCTTATGCATTGTGTGTAAGTGGTGTGTTCTAAAAAAAAAACTATTATCCAACTTCTGAATTGGACTAGGAAGTAAATCTCCCTACCCTGGGATGTTTCACCCAGTCTTAGCCAGGGTTTAATGACAATGTAAATGAAAAACCTGACGTCATACACTGTTGGTTGACAGTATAGAATAATAATTCAAAAGAATAGAAAGGGATACTCACTGTGCTGCGAAGTTTTTCTAGTAGAAGTATCAACTGAGTCTATAAAATTGACAGAAAAAGGACACGACTCAGCATTTTGTAGGGAGCATACTATACAAAATGGAGCTTGTCCCATGCAAACTACAATCATTGACAACAGCAGGCATATAAAGCAAGTGGGAAACATGCATCGTGCTAGTGAGCCTACATGTGAACATCTCACTCCTGTGTTGTAGCAGAACCATACCAATAATGTAATGAGAGAGAGCTAGTATATTAGAATCTGTTACAGTAAGAAATCTCTGGTGTGTTGTAGGATTACAAAGAATTAGAATTGGTGTAAACATTTTCCATTTTCCTTAAGGCCAAGAAAATGTATAAATGACATTAAAACTTTAAATTCAGCACTACAGTGACAATGGAAAAACAATACAGACATCATGAAGCTCTCACACAAACAAGAAGGTGAACTGAGAGCAGAAAGTCAAAGCAGTGGAGGTGGGTAGAGTATGTGATTGGGTTTAGGCTTGTAATGGCGGGGTGAGACATGGTAAACTACACCTCTCTCTGGGTTTGAATTTCTCAGGCCAGTCTTACCCAGTTAAAAGTTTTAGCCTTTCTCCTTTATCTTCTTGTTTCTGCCATTCTATCTTTATATTTAAGACATACAAGTTTTTCTCAAGGATGGAGTCAAAAAACAGGAGAAGGTCTAAGGCGGGGGCAGAAGGAGAGGAGAACAGGGACAGAGGGAAAAATTAGAGAACCAGGTTAAAAGTCAGGAGATCAAGTTCACATTGTCTTCCACAGAAGTTTATCCTACTTTACTAAAAAGCAAGGGAAAACTCTTAGCAGAAACAATTGTTTGCATTTGTGAAGGACCAAAATCCATATTCTATAGCCTTATATGTGTCTATGATAAACCTGGTCATTTCTGATCATTTGAGAAGCATGAATTACCTTGAATTTGTTTCCTACGCTGATGAAGCTGAGTTTGCCAGCCTTCTGCTTGGAGTCCTTTGAGTTTGAGTTGTTCTCAAAGAGATCCCGGACAAATTTGTCCTTCGACTCGCACACAAGGCTCTCCAAAGACATGTGGAGGGCATCATTATTCTTCTCCACAAAACGGGTCTGCTCACACACATACACAGTCAGCATCAAGCAAAGAATGAGGCCATACACTTACATTCAATGATTTTCACCATTTCAGCTAGAGTTACAAACATTTTTAAAAAAGGAGGTTAGATGAAATGCTGTTAAAAAAGGGGGGTATGTAAAACTGAAAATTAAAGCAAAAGGTAAAAAGTAACACGCATGAATGAAAGTTATATTTTATATTAATAAAATATGTGACCTTGAGACAGACATCAAAATCACAATTGTATGTTTCAAATAAATAAAAGGTTAAAGTGTGTGTGCTCTAATACATGACCAAGTGTACATACAGTCTCATAGCACACAGCTCCTGCAAAGTGCCTGATGATGAATCCTTCATCATCCCTTAGGTTCCTGTGGATTGCTAGTTTGGACTTTCTTGGAATCTAAAGAGAAATAATTTATAATTCAAGCCGCATGGTTTTAATCAATTAACATAACTATACTTCAAAGATATGGTCCATGAAAGCATTTTGTGTTGACTACATACAACATAAAAGCAGATGTTAATTAATATCAGCCCACACTTTTTTATCAGCTTTCAGGATTGAAAACAGTTGAAGGCCATAGCTAACCGTGAGACGGAAGTGATCTTTGTGCTTGGTGTGAACAGCCTCAGCAAAGTGCTGGTCACTGGGCTGGGGTAGTCGGTTCTCCTCATCAAGGATGTCCAGAATTCCTACCAGTTTTGCCTCAATGAGGTCTACAGCGGGAAAAACAGCATTAT